TATCTATCCTCAGGTGACAACCCTGAAGGAAGTTTTAACTTAGAAACTTTTTGTTTAAATTTTTCCTTCAAGGTCTCAGCCGCTTGATGCACAGTGGAGTCCAAGCGCGTGGGGTCATAAGTAGTTTCAAAATAATTTTGGAAAGCTTTAATCTCTTTGGCATGAGTAAACATACCTTTCTTTGCTGGTACCTGCACATCGAAAGCATCAATTAGTTTCTGTTGAATTGTAAGTGTATCAAACATATAAGTTTGATAAAACTTGGTCCACCATTCCAGAAACCCTTTAGCTGTGAGATGGGTAAGTTTGAAGGTTATCAGCTCAAACTGGGCAAAGCCTTGATATTGTTCTTGCTGTATTTTGGCTTCCCGTGCCTTGAAAGTTCGTCCAGAAGTGATGGCACTCTCAGTTTGAAATAAAGGTTCAGGAATGAGTTGACATAAGCCAAACTGTCTCGAAACAAAATTTGGCTGGTAAGCAAAAAGAAAAATTTGGTTCTTGGCTGGAGTTATTCTTGAAGAAATGAGTCTAGGTAGCAAAAAAGCTCTCCATACATCCTGAATCTCCTTGCTCTTGATAGCTTCTAAGAGAGCCATGGTGAACCAAGAAGGTCCATGAGCCCTCGAAGCAAAAGGCGCCATGCTCTCTTCGAACTTGTGCCTTTTGGAGAATATCATGATGTACTTCGAGAATTGGACTTTGAAGTCATCTTTGTCGTCATTTGGAGTTAATCTTCGAAGCCTAGTGCCTTCGACTATCCTATCATTTATCTCAGGATCTTGCTCATCAATGGTGTTGGCGGTTGACAAGGAGGGTTCGAACATGGCATTTAGCCATAGTTGAAGTAACCAAAAAGGGCCAGCCAACAGAATATTCTTGGAGGTATGGGATTTGAGGCTCGAAACAGCTGACCTCAGGCTTTCATAAAGGTTAACTAAGAGCAGTTCACTTAGGCACACTTTTCGATTTTCATGCAATTCCCTAGCTAGAGGAATGAACCTACTAGCTACGTGTAGGGATCTACTGCAGAAAACGTATCTTGACAACCACAGGGTTAAGAAAGCAATGTGTTCTACGTCAGACACATTGTCCCCCTCAGCATGGTAATGACTGATAAACTTGGAAAAACTTGCTAGCTTGACTTCGAAGTCAATTATGCTTGAATGTTCTTCATTGTCGGGGATATAAGTTTCTCCTACTGGCGATAGCCCAGTGATGGCCGCTATGTCGAAGAAGGTTGGGGTGATCATTCCACCTGGGAGATGGAAAGTGTTATAGGTACTGTCCCAGAAATAGAGGGACGCGAATAGCAGAGGGTGGCTGTAGGTGAAACCAGGCTTCGATAGCTTAATCAGGTTATAGATACCTAATTCTTCCCATTGCTGGGATTTCTTAGCTTCTACTTTCTTGAACCAATTTTGATAAGCAATATCAGAGGTGGGGCAAGATTGAAATGGCTTAAAATTACTTTTTACATAATCCAATACAAAGGGGTCCTTAGGAGGAACAATTGGATTTTCTATGGTATTTGAACTAGAAGATTTTACTGCCTTAGGGGCGTCCATTTTGTTAAACAAGGGTTTAAAACTATAACAAACTGGGAAAATCGTCCTGGTGTCTTTTAATATTTCAAAAACTGTAAGAGGGCCATTTAAAGCTAACCTCTTACCGGCAACGTTGGTAGGAATGAGTACCTGTGACGCATACAACATTTCTTTTTCCTTTGAAATTATCTGAGGGGCAAGAACGAATTGACCTTGGTGAGTGATGATTTTACTTTCCATGGTAGTTCCTGCAGTTTTTCCTTTCTTCTTGGAGACTTTCTTAAGTTGGGATGAAGTAGAAGAAGACATTTTTTGAAGGATGCTGAAAGCTTGGGTTTTTGACGAGAGAAGGAGGGTAAAAGATTTAGAGTGTGAAAGAAAAGAAAAAGATTAAGTTGGTGATGTTTTATAATGGGGAAGTTTAAGCATCCACTGAATAAGGGTGTGATACGTGGAAATCATGGGTTGGTGTGATGAAGAGGTGGCGTAAAGTTAACATAGGTAATAGGCGTGATTTGAAGATAATCATTATTTGTAACTGCACCATACTGTGAAGTGGCTCCAGGCGGTTAAGGAATCCAAAAAGCGCTATGATTGACGTGACTGGAGTCAAAAGCATTAAATGTTACGATGATTCAAAAGTCACATCAAAATCTTGTGTAGATGTTTAAAATAGGTATTTCTCAGAGAAATCGAAATACATATTTTAAAGGGGAAATTTGTTGGCTGAAGATTTTGATAATATTATTAGAAGCCAAATGAATTAAACGTTTCGATCGAAATGAAGTAAAGCGTCATGTTTCGAAGTAGCAGAAGCAGTGTTTCGAATAAGCATGTCAAAGCTGGAGCTTCGAATGGCAATTATGAGAACATATCTAAAGAAGTCTCGAAATAACAACAAGGTTGTGTCTGGGAAGTGCGTTCGAAACGGAGAAATACCAAAGCATTTGAAATTCAAATGGAAGCGGGACATTCGAAGTTTGAAATTTATGTGCTGGAGCATTTGGAGACACGTGGAAAGAAGAAAGAGGCATTGTTCTGCATGTTCTGAACGAGGTATAATCCTATAGTAAGACCGTTATGGTCGAATTAGTATAAATAGAAGTCTTAGTATTAGGATTTCGTGTGTCATATCTATTGTACTAAATACTCAGTAACATTCAAACTACCACATGGCAAGGGAAACGAATGCAAGAGCAATGTACGTATGATAGCACCATATATTTCTGATTTAAATGAAAACTTTTTACCATTTCCAGCACTTTCCTTTATCTTTTTGTCAAATAACATTTACAAGTTTTCTCATTTACAGTCTTTTCACTTCGAAATCTCTTCATTAAAGTTTTACATTTCAAATGCTTTCTTTACATTTCAAGCATTTTACATTTCAGAAAACTGTCATCTTTTCCATGCCTTTACCTTCAAACTTTATCTTTCGAATGCATATTCTTACTTAAAGTCATTTACAGATTTCTTGCATTAAACGCTTTCTTCATCTTTCAAACCTTTTACGTTCCAGAAATCCTTTACTTTAACTGTTTTTATAATTCGAAACCATTTACTTGCCTTTTATGCAATTTTATATGTCTTTACAATTAACATTTATTCATGCAACTTAGTTTCGTACACGCACATTTTGATTACATCTTTAGACCTTTTGAGAGAGAAATCGAAATAAGCCAAACACCTATACAACACTCAAATATCAACCATGAATATCTGTTCGATCATGAGAGTAACCTTAATGTCCAAGGAATCCTAGGATCAATCTAGTCGATCCTGTGAGTTACCAGAGGAATTGAATAACAGTCAGAAAGATTATTCGGTAGTTTGGAAGACTAGCGGTTGTTTACCAGAAATCATTGGAAACACACGCGACATCGTCTAGTGTGATCGTCATCTCACCATGTAGAAAGGGAAAAGGAAAAGATACAACAGAGTTGCCACTGAATTTTATTTATTCTTAAGAGATGAGGGAAAAGATCTAAAAAATCCACAAACAAACTAATAATGGTCATCGCAACCAACTAGGGTCAGAAGTTGGTTAAGAAAGGGGAAGGTATTAACATTCATCACCTCTGTTGTACTCAACGGGATCCATTTAATTAGTTTTGTGATTGAATGTTAGCCTATATTTATTTGTGTTCTAATTATTATGCGAGAAAGAAAAGAAAAAAAATATTTTTTGTTTTTTTGAAAGTGAGCTCGCCAAGACTTTGCATCGTGTGCCTACTATTCCTTAAGTGTTATGGGAAAGTCAGAGCTTACATAGTTCTCAATGAACTGAAATATTGATTGATTGATTGATTTTATTTGTGAAAAGAAGCTTAATCGCATGTAGACGATAAGACTCGTTATGACTACAACTACGAGTCACTCCCGTAAGTGCAACTCCAGAATATTTCTGCGTGACATCTAAAATTTCTTAGACTAAATTATAATCTGCAATTAAGGTGCTTTCGAAAATACAACTACAAATTCCTCCTGTTAAATACATCTCCAATTAATTCCCTTCCCTTCTTTAATATAGAATCTTGTTCATCAATTATCTAACTAAGGATACTTCTGATATACATTTCCGAAAATTAATGACATTTTTATATTTTGGCGGTGCATTAAACAAATATGAAGTGTGTTAAGAAATTCCCAATGTTCAAATCGGGGAAAAACTTCACAAATCAAACTAAATAGAACAAATCAAACTATATAAAACAAATACACGGAAAGTTTCTATGAATTGCGGCAGTTATTAATGATTATTTTTTTCCCCTCGTTTTATAACTTTTTTTGTACAAAAACTAACAACTTTTAAATAAAAAATTTGTAGAAGTTAAAATTCTAAAAGACATGAAAAGTAAAAATCTCATCACTATTTTCAATATTTTTTAAATATCAAGATTTTTTCAACAATTTTTTTTAAATTTTATTAAGACTATATACAATTTTGTTATCACACCGAATTAAAACCAACCAATTTTATCTAACTCAAACATCACCGAATTACACAACCTAACCAGCCAATTTTATCTAAATTAAACATTGAATTACACAACCTAACCAACCAATTTTATCTAAATCAAACATACAAACCAACCAACCAATGACTATGGTTCGACCATCAATCTTTTGATTTTGTTGGATAGATAGCCAAGTTGGTTTTTAAAAAATTGGAAACAACCACACATGCCATTTTAAGTGTTAAAGAAAACACACACATGCCATTACCATTACCATTTGACACGTTAAGATTTAAAATTGTGATATATATCATTTCGCCATTACCAACAGCATCAACACATCACTAAACATAACTGAGAAGAAAGACGGAAAAGAACTAATGTATTATATCTATTGTAAAATCCCCAAAGTTGCTCACCAAGGTACAATTCAGGCAGTCATCAAGCCACCTATCTATCCCAAGGGAAAACCACTTTCACTTGGATGTGTATTTTCCTTCTAACTCTTTTGGCCAACTTTGTTCTCACTGGCCTTCATATTCATACAATGGAACGCTGCACAGGCAACTCATCAAAAACAAAACATTTCAGACCATATTAAGCAAAACAAGACGCAGCTGAGGACTATACAGTCTATAAACCAGACACATGTGAAACGTCTTCACCTAAAGTGAAATTTCCTGTTTTTACACTATTTATATCCAACCAAACCAATTGTGGGTAGAAAAACAATTCATCATTCACATTTGGAAATCAATTCACAAGTGACCAAATGACGTACTGGCTTCAGCTGTTGCATTCTTTTGTTTTGATGAAGCGGAATTAGCTGGCAAAGCAGGCTCTGAAACATCACCAATATCCAGTGAGTCTGGAAGATTTCCAGAAGAGTCAACAGCATCATCAAACTGTAAGACGAAAACAACAAGTTATCAGAAATTGGATTAGATTTGCAACTTAATGTGCAACAGAATTGATCCATTAACATGATTATGAGTATGGCCACCAAGAGTATTTACTTCCCAAGGATGTTCGACAGGATTAAACTAATATAAATCTAGCAAGCAATTCCTTATATCTAAAAACTGACTGGCTAACATTAATCAGCAAAGAAATTTTTAGACAAGTTCATAGCATATTACTCCTATTTTCATCTGCATATATAACAGAACAATATACTATTCATAGCATTTGCCTTTATACTGGTTTCAAATCAGTGATATGTAATATTTCAACATTCCTTTCGCCTAAAACAAAAACTAACAAGTAAAATAATTAAATCAAAGAGCAAAGTATGAACAACAAAGAGTATTAAAGCCTATTTGGACAAACAACTAAATCAAGTGCTTATAGCATAAGTGCTTGTGTACAAGTTATTTCTATAACAAATGGTCAAATAAAGTCACACTGTTTTCATATAAATTATCAGCAGTTTTCATAAGCTATCCTAGAGACCATATGGAAATCAGCTTATGAACAAGCCATAAATTGTTTCTATAAGCTCTCTTAAACTGTCTCACGAGTATGTATGTCAGTACACAAGCTCAAATAAGTTAATCCAAATAAGTCCCAACTCCCGAGTGTGTTAAAACTTAAAATTAAAACAAACAAACTTGGAGTGCACAAAATATGAAGGAAAAAATGTCAAAGACATTTTATCAAAAAACTGGGATTTAAAGAATTTCAAGCTTGGCTCAGCAATCTTAGGGCACCCTGCCTGATTCAACGACTACAAGATCATCTGCATTTAAGTATACAGTTAAACCAAAATTTCCAGTCAATGTCATGGCATACGTATGATTCAATACTTATGATTACAAAGCCTGAATATTTAACTAAACCCTTGTGTATCTGGTCACTTAACTGATTGGAGTAAGTGACAGGTAGCATTGAATGAACAATTGAACAACAAAGTTTAATCCGAAAAGCTAACAATTATAAGATTATACCTCAAGTTGGCTAAGCATGTCAACAGCAGCATCCAGATCCCCACCGTTTACATTGTAAACATCTACAAGTGACTCATCAGATATCCCCGGGAACGTCATCCTAAGATACTCCAAATCAATATCAACATCCTCATCCATAAAATGCTTATCAGCCAGCGGCGCTACACTTTGCTGCGATGAAAAGTAAGAACTAGAACCCGGCTGACTCTTCCCCGGAGAGAGTCTTTGCGGGTTTTTCTTCAGCAGCTGGACATTATTTGCAGCATACTGAGGAGCCGGAAACCACGCAGTCCCGTCGTAGTCTTGCGAAGTGTTGTTCTCTTCTTCCGTCGCGTAAAATCTAGCAGTAGCATTAGCATTAGCATCCCTTTTAGAGACGGGAACGTATGCGGCTGCATATGGATTCAACGAAGACTTTCGTGGCTTCATGGTGTTGTTACTGGTAAAATCAGATCAGATAGATAAACAATTTTCGAACATAATCATGATTAAGATCAACAGAGCATAAAAATCGAAAGGTAAATCGAAGATGAATAAAATTGCTGTGATCGAGAATTTCACAAAATAAAAACATTGAATCGAACAGAACCATGAACAGTTTCGATTTGATTGTAACATTTACATGAGCGAGGATGAATGATTAGAACCAACAGAGATTCAAAGGGAGAGAAAACTAACCAGTTAGACGAAAATCACGAAACCCTAATTTTCGAGAGCGATCTGAAACAAATGTTGAGAAAAGTGAAAATGCTTTTAATTTCAGTATTTATGTCAAAATATGACCAATTAGACTGTTTCAATAAGCTTTTATTTTTTTCACAAATTAATTCTATTTTACTATTTTTTAAAGAATATTTGTTACTTTAATTTTGTTTTTTTGTTTTTCATTGAATACTTTAATTTTGTTTTTCATAACTTCCTTTCTATCAGAAAGATTTTTTTTTTTAAATTTCAAAAAATAAATAATTAAAAGAAATATCTTTGTAAAACGCTAAATATAAATGTTTATTATAGTCGAATTTTTATTGGTTTAACTAGCCTATGTTTTTTTAAAAGCAAATAACATATATAAATTGATATAAGGGGTGCAAAAAGTCAAGAGGATAGAAATCAGCAGAAAAGAAATAGTAATACAACTAAAGAAAAAACATTGATGCAAATAAAGAAAAATCAAGGAGGACAAAACAAAAACAACTAAAAAAAATGATATCAGTTAGAGGTCTTCAGCTAAGAACAAGTAAAAACAATGATATAAGTTTTTATCGAAGCAACAAGAACACATCAAGAGGAGGTTGAAGACACTGATGTCGTTATTTGTTCAAATATCGTATAGGGTTCTCAAACCATTCCGAGAAAGCATAAGAGTTTTCCACATACCTATCAAGATATGATTTTCAAGTCAAAAGGATACTCATGTCTTCCACGTCATTAGTTGTAACTATTTTATCTGAGAATAATATATCATTTTACGATTTCTAGATCGACCATACCATAACATGTCAAATCATAAGACACCCCATTAAACCTAAATGAACCAACAAGAGTAAAAAATATCTAAAAAAGGACTAGGTGGTCTCTAAGTAAAACTACAATCCAACCAACCCATCTAAAATTTATATTCGAAACGGATAAGACAACTTCACAAGACATAAAAAGATGAGTAGACAACTCTAGGAACCTCGAACAAAAAGGGTACGAGACACCTTCCGGACCAATGAGGACACCCCATTTAAGTAAGTTCTTTAGTAGTAAAAATTATATCCTATAAGAGTTTCCATGAAAAAATAGATACTTTATAGAGGATCCAGCTACTCTAGATACTAGGAAGGACTTGCTTCATTAACGATATAGGACGCTCACTATGGAACTCACGAGTGAGGAGAAAAGAGTATGTAGACGTCATAGAGTTCCGAGAGTTCAACCTACTAAGAGCTTTTTAAATTTATTACATACTCTCAAGGTCAAATTTTGGGAAAATGACTAAGTTGTTTTTTTATTATACATATATAAATCTTAATGTCTTCTCTCTTTTCTTAATTTCGCACTTTATTTTCTAAATTTTATTTTTCAGTGTTTAATTTCAAAAACTTTTCTAAAAAACTTTTTTAAAGCATATGTGTGAAGTCACATGTCCAACAACAATTACAATGTTAAATTTCAATTTGTCAACTTCCGTGTGGATCCATTAAAACATATGATCACGAACAACAAAGTCATGCTCATTTTTAAATTGTTTACCAACATCTACCTCGACATCCATATATATAATAGCTTTGGAGACAATCTAAGAATGCACACTATCTAAGGCCAATAATAACTGAAAACATTAAAATTCACCAAATTCAACATTGCATTAATCCGGAAATACATTTTTGTATTACATTTAACAGCAATTCAAAAATACACTTTCAGATGCAATGTTCATTTTTTAAGAATAAAAACTAGATTCTAGCAAGTAATGAGGAAGGAAATATGTGCACATTACCTTAAATTTTAGTTTCTTTTGCTCTTTTAAATATGAAAAAAATAGAGGAATGTTGTTTTGAAGTAGAAAATTTTGATTGAGTACCGAAGGATGTTTTGGTAGGGTTTGAAGAAGAAATTATGGTATGATCATGAGTGAAAAATACATGCAATATGGTGTTTTATTTAATTTTTCAGTTGATAAATCTGGAACTGCACTTTTGAATTACTCATTGAGTTGTGATTTTTTATTTTTTTATTTGACAAACTTGGAATTGCACTTCCGAATTTTCCACCTAGTTGTGAAATAAACAAAATCAATGTAGGGGTTAGTTCAGAGATACATTTTCAAAATAATTTTAAAAATAAAATAAAATGTCTCACTTAGAAGATGTTTTAGTGTGTACTAAGTGTGTTTGGAGATGTACTTCCGAAATTTTAGACGGTCGATTTCAAATTTCTTAATGATGTCTATTTACCACTAAGAGTGGATAGAGAAACCCTTAACATATAATGTAGAGGGCTTCTACTGTGGAAATTTTAGTTTATTGAGAAGGACACCAACAAAATTCCAAAAACTAAAAAACTAAGTATATATGTCGTTTTAATTTTTGAAGACTAATGAGTGGTTTTAGAGATGCAAAATTAATTTTAACATGTTTGGATTTTCTATAAAAAAATGATTTTTGTTTAAAATAAATTGGACTTGAAACTAGAATTTATACATTTTGAGTTTAAATATAATTTTACATTAAAATTAATATGTTTAAGTCACTTTTGCATAAATATATGAAAATAAATTATTTTATCTTCAATTTATTTTTAACTAAAATCAATTTTCTTCGTTGCGAAATCAAACATACACTAAAAAATTAAATAAAAAGAATTTAGACATGCAATCCACAAAAAGTTTTTGGAGTTCAGTAAATAAAATCGGTTTAATAAGATATCTTTATCTGCCATCCCCTCAGTTATATTTGGCAACCCCCATTATTTTCCATAATACCTAAGTTACCCTTATCAATTTTTTTTGAAAAAAGAACACACAAAATATTCAGTAGTACAAGTGAAAAATCAGGTGTAAATTGAAAAATCTGATAATGTATTTAAAACGTTCGGTGTGCGTTTATACTGGGTTTTTTTAACCAGTGGGTGGAAACGTTGCTGATTTAAAAAAAAAACACCATTGTTTATTGGGTTTTTTGTAAGGGTTCACAATTATGTAGTGTAAAATCACCGATTTTTTTAAACAAAAACTCATGCATTTGCTGGATTTTTAGAATGGGGTGGAAAAAATTCGGAAGTATAATTTTCAACGATTGAGATTTTGTCGACAGTTTTATATGCCTGTGATTGCACCAACCATTTTGTATGGTCCATAATGAATCCGAACTTGTATAAATTAGGACCATTTGTTGTTTAAAAAACATCTTCGAATGCTTAACTACTTGTTTAAGACAATTATGTACTTCAACGGGGTGGAACCTTCTGTTGGTTTTGGGCTCCCAGAGGACACCACCTATCTTGCTCTTTTGAGATCCAAATATGATAATATATTGTCTAACACCGATAGTAGAAAATTGAGTAATGAAAATTGGATTGTTAGGAAGTATATAGGACCAGGGGCGGATCCAGACTTTATATATTGGTGTGGCTAAACATAAAAGAAATTATCGACTAAAATATATTGAAAATAAAAAATAATATTGTTTGATGAAGTGTATTTACAATGAAAACCGTCTAGTATCAATTTCTTGAAAATGAGCTAAAATAACATCATTGTTAATTGTTCCAAGAACATCTCTTTCTATAAAAGTTACAAGATGAACATTTAATTATAAATTACTCATTTTGTTACATAGTTGAATCTTCACAAACTTCATAGTTAAAAAAACACGGTTCACGTTTATAGTTGCTATCGAGAAGACCAAAGTCAATTTTAAAAACTTATAAATCATATTAAATATATTGCACTTATTTATTAGGAGGTTGGTAATTTATTTTTAAATAAGCTTTCTTACATCATTTTTATGTTAGAATAATAGTTTGAAATTTGAAGGCTAATTCTTGAATCTGATTCCAACAATTTTAATACTCTCACTTGAATTCTATAAAGAGAATAATGAAATTATTTAAAATAGTTATTTATATGATAAAGAGAATAATAAAATTAATTTATTATAAATAAAATAATTTATGAAAAATTGAAAGAAAAAAAATGTAACAAATTAAGATTATAGGATTCAACTCAAAAAATAAAAGAATAAAGAAAAATTAGAATATTCATTTTATCTTTTATTTTCAATCACTAATAAATAAATGTAGTCTAGTTAAGTGAAAAAATTGAAGAAAAAATAGAGAATTATTAAATTAACAAATATGAGATAAAGCATGAGAGATGATGGAGTTTGAGAAGAAGAGAAAAAGAAAATACTAAGAGAGAGAAAAACTGAGAGTAAGAAATATTTATAAGAGAGAAAAGTGAGTTAGACTTGGATTTGATAATATATTTTTTTATTAATTATAGTTACCTAATAACTAAACGTGTATATAACATAAAAAAAAAAAAAACTAAAAAAAAAACTGGTGTGGCTATAGCCACACCCTGCCTACATGTACATCCGCCCATGTATAGGACTGTTAGGAAAATTGGCTAAGTGTAGGGGTACGTGAAAAAATCAACAAAGTTAGTATTACTCGAACACCTTAGTTTCACAAAAAAAAAATATCTTGAGTTTTGCGTGTGTTTTATACCATAGTGCTCTGATTCTGAGAAGTACCGTCTAGTTACTTGATATAGATAGTCTGGCATACATTTTATTCACTTGTTATTGTTGACGATCAAGAAAGAAAAACACAAAAATGATGAAAAAGACAGTAAAAGACAATTGCACCCTCTAAGTTGGATAGCCCTCACCCGGCTATTTATCCCAACGGTGGTCGAACCCCAACGTGAAACCATAATT